TTTTGTTTGTTAATTGTTTGTGTAATTTTTTGCTGCACTTGGTACATCAAACGTAAAAATACATATAGTAGATACCTAACTAGAATCATGTTTATCAATACAACGTTTTGTTAATCATTTGTTAGTGGTACGACCTTTTAATTGTCTCGCTGCCTCAACACTGCCATCACAAGGGCGTATCGTTCGGAGACTACACAGCACTGGCAGACGGAAAAACAAAGACTATTCACACGGCCCGAGTTCAGAGGTAGCTACAGCACAGTTGTTACCGCGACCGCAGCCAAGCACTACGCACCATTGGTTGTACGCGACAAAAACTCAAGAAAAACTCACGGGAAATCAGGTCAGCCCGACCAAGCAAACATGGCCTGTGCCCAAACGAGAAAACTTAGCAGAACGTGGTTCCAAATTAAATTGGTGCTCTTTTTAGTACATAATTTGTGCTCAGCTGATCCTCAGTTGGATTTGCCGCCACTGCCTCAAATTTCTAGTACCCAGCGCAATCCTTATGGGGGAGGATATGGACTTTCGAGTACCCCAGCATCAATTAACGCTCCAGGGAATCAGTACGATCTTCGAAATCAATTTAGTACCGCAAGACAAAACCCATCGACTCCAGGAATTTACCCGGTATCGTCCACTCCGTTTAGTAGAATAAATCCCGACATTAACAACAATGGATACCCAAGTTCAACGATTAGACCCTATGATGACAGAAACCGCGATGATAGAATTGATATCAATAATGACCCGAATTTCAGACGAAATGATCCGAACTTTGTGAGGAACGACCCTAATTACGTCGGAGCTAATCCTTATGACTTCAACAGAGGTATCGATGGGAACAGTATTGACGACAGGTTCCATCAAGTGAATTTGCAACAAATCAGGGACTTTTTGCTACAAGCCGACGATCAGGCGTCCAAAGAGTGTACCAACAATGTGGCCGCGCAGTGGAATTTTGAAACTGATGTCAACGACGCAACTCAACATGCTGCGGTAAGTACTTTCCTCTTAAAAAATGCTTTTTGTATGTAGTGTTTTCAGATAAATTATAATACATCGCCGTTATACAGGGAAAACCCAAAAAAATTGACTTTGAAATAAATGCAATTGAAATTTCAAAGACGAATGAATTTTGCAAATACCATCGTCAACCACGTAAATTTGTAACAGATGATTACAAATTTTATTTTTTACCGAAACTAGGTAAATATTTGCATTTTACATAAGCAACTATGACGAGTTTTCCTATAATTAAGTCATTTTTTGTAAAATTCTAGATCATTGGTTTTCGTAGTATAACTTGACTCGCAAGTACATACTTTAACCAAAGATGATTAAATTACTGATTTCGTCCTCAAATATTTTAAGCCCATTTCAATTAGATATTTTTTTGGAATCACCAAAATAACTATCGAATTAAACTTAATTAACCTTGGATAGTTACTAGTTAACGAATTCTCAAGATTGGGTTTTCCTAAACATTCTGCCGTATTTTTCATACGTGGTCATTAAACATTAACGACTCTCAACAATTGGTGATCGTTATCAAATAAACAATGTGGGGAGTATTATAAAAATGACGTGTCACCTTAATGCTCTGAGAAAATTACTCTATACGCTGTAAAGTTATCCTTTTGAATATTAATGGTTGTATTGTATTGTAGGTTACAATGTTTCTTACGATTATTAAGCAGTATTGTGCAATTTAAAGTAAGCTTTCCATGAAGATGTTGTTCTCTATTCTGGATGAGTATTCTTTTTTTTTAAAGAGTCCTGTCGGTATTTCAGTTACGTTATCTTAAAGGGTTTCTATTTCAAAGGTCTTCTTATTGTATGATCGATTTTATCTATTGAATCTTTTTAAGTGTTCCTTACGTATGTATCATTGAGCAGAAGATAGGGTCCCAAACTTTTTTGGTCGCCGACACAAAAAAATATTGAAAACACGTATTTTTTATATTAAACTAACACAAAAAATCACAAGGATAATATATACATATATGTAGTGTAGTTTACGCAGATAATTCAGGTTTTTTTTTAATGCGGTAGCACCCCCTGGATAGCATCAACGCCCTCAATTGCTTCCGAGGTCACTAACTAGGACTCTTCAGCGCCCCCCGGGGGAGGTAAGGATCATTTTGGGAAATTATGGGCTAGAAGATCTTCTCACTGAAATCTAACCAATCAATTATAATGTGAACTGCCTTAGCGACATAATGAAAGGCTGTTGTTGTTGTGTTATAATCTGTGACTAAACTATCGGCGTAAATCTTCTCAGATGTCACCGTAAACAGCAGGTCTCTCCAACTAATTGTGATAATTGCTACTATTGAAGCGATCCCATCTATTTCAACACTTGACTCAACTTAATAAACTACAATCTGATTGCGATATCGTTCCATACAAATGTTGAGCATTCGCCAAGAAAGTTTCCGGGCATCTTTTTCCCACAAAGAACAATGTATGAGAGATTTCATTAGATATAGTACAAAGTGCAGCACAGCATGTAGCTATTTACGTACTTTTTTCCTCAATCTATCACATTCTTCCATGTGATAGACTGTACGTTATGGGATTTCTACACGCTTGAAACTTCAGTGTTTGTCGTTTTTACTCCCAAAGAAAATGTATTGTTCCTGTTAGAAATTAACTCTAAGTGGTATTATTATTGTCTAATTGTGCGATTTACTAGATAGTTCGAGAAATTATTGTTTTGTTCGTTAACACTTTCAGGTGCACTGTTGTTACTGTCTCTAGAAATTTAATATCAGACGATACCAGAATTAATTTTATTGCAACAATTATTTAAAATGTAAAATTAAACACAAAAGTCTAATTCTAATTTAAATTTTACAATTACTTTTTGTCTCTGATTTTATAGAATATCATGATATTTTACTACCATGAATTTCATTTATTTTTTCACACCACTAGTTAAGAAAATCATTCAATCAGATCAGATAATGTTGGTGAAACTACAGGTATATGGGACTTGTCGACTTGTCGTAGAAGCGCAGTGCCAGCGCCCCTCAGGTCTGCGATTTAAAGCTCTAAACAACACTGCATCTGTAATAGGTAGACGTGGCGCTTGCACCCTGGCACACGACTTTTTTTTATAACACACACACTAAACATAGCCCCGCACTAGGGAAACCCTGTGTCGCGGATGCCACGGGCAAACACATAGACAACAACAAATTATAAATAAAATAAATAACGCACACACTCAACATAGCCCCGCACTAGGGAAACCCTGTGTCGCGGGTACCATGGACACACACATAGACAACCACAAATTACACCCAAACTCACGAGAGAAATAAATGTAGGCCATACTTTTTTTTTTCCCGGCCCGGGAATCGAACCTGGGACCTCTGCGTAGCAGTCCGTTTGGTCATAGGAGGTAGTTAAACTAACTAACTTGGTGATTATGGTCATTCTAATGCACTTTTCTTGAAGGAAACTTATGTTCAGTAGTAAATATCCAGATGTAATTTTCATTTCTTTGTAATATTGATTTAATTGAAAATCATGTATTTTTCAACAGCCATCGTGGCCAAACGGTTACCATGCCGGACTAGCACGCTGGCACTGGTCCCAGGTTCGATTCCCGAGCCGGGAGAAATATTTGTATGGCCTACATTTATTTATCTCAAGAGTTGTCTATGTGTGTGTCCATGGCACCCGCGACACAGAGTTTCCTTAGAGCGAGGCTACGTTGGGTGTGTGCGTTATTATATACCGACTTCAAAAAAGGAGGAGGTTCTCAATTCGACTGTATGTTTTTTTGTATGTATATACGCGATAACTCCGCCATTCGTGAACCGATTTTGATGATTATTTTTATTATAATTTTTACTAGCTTGTTATCCAGATATTTTTTGTGACGTTACTACCACTACTCAGTTATGATTATTATTAGTAAAAAGATCGAACACAAAAAATGGACTCGAACCTGCGTCTGTTTTCCATAACTGGCTACCCCTCGTTCAAATGAGCTATAACATCGAATCAGGGGACGTTACAAATTTCTCTGTGTTTGTTACAGATCTTTTGCGTTGGGTTTTTATCGGGTTTTAATTATACTTTTTGACTGTAATTTTTTTTAAACAAATGACAAATTGGTTCCTGCTGTGAAAGATGTACATAATAATATTAAAAGGATTGCTGTAGCTATACTTTGTTTTTTAGCATTAGATAGAATGAAATTTTAGGTCTTTTATCAGGCTCCATTTTGTTCCTTCATATTGTAAGCAAAACAATTTAATAAATTTAATAAATACCATAAAACAAAATTCTCTAATACAATCACTGCATTTATGCAATTATTACGTTTCTTTTGTTCACTAAAGATTGAATGAAAATTTTGTATCTTTATATACTTAATCAAACTTACACACTGACACTTAACTGAAATGTTTTGTTAAATTATAACATTTCTGTTGACATTTGTGAATTTCATTTTCCTTCACTGTAATTTGTTGTCTGAAGAAAAGTCTTTATGATCACTGCTACTTTGTTCATGTTTTTTTCTAATTCTATAAAAACGGAGTGTATACAAGATTTAAAAACCATTGTTAATTATTACTGTGTTAAATAAATTTTTATTGAATTGATATTCAATTAGTTTTTGTGAAATTACTCCACTAGTTTGTTATAATTATTAATACAAAGATCGAACACTCAGAAAAAATTCATTCGATCCGGTCGGATTCGAACCGACGTCTTCTTGCATACCGTGCCAGACGCTATACCAACTAAGCCACGGAACGAACCAATTCTTTCAATTTTTTACTTACAATTTATTACTGTGTTTTTAAAAGGAAACGAAAAAGAAATAGGCCATCAAGGACAAAATTGCATGATTTTACTAGATGTTTTTACTCTTACGAGTGTAAAGGATAGCATCTTTTAATTATATAATTTTAAGTAAAAGGCATTATTATTATTATTAATTTTGAATTTGATTTCGCAGCACGTACAAAAAAACTTATTATCAGCCTACGTAAACAACGTTTCTCAACAAATGGAATGTACTGCAAGTAGTGTTGAAGTACTAAACAGTTGACCTTAAACTCGATCCTCAAATTAGCACCACTGGCAATAGTCAGTAGCACTGGTTGTATCTAAATAATGTTATATCTACATTCAGCTCTTGACTGGGATGAATTATATTAAGTGTAGTAGGTACTTGTTCATGCCTATAATGTATTTAATAAGGTCCTCGTTGACCCAACGGTATAAACGAAGTTTAAATACTACGCAGCAACACATACTTTGACGACCTTAAACGGATTCCGTACAAATTAACCAAGTCAGAACAGTCTATCTTATAAGAGCACTAGTATACAATAAGATACCGTATGATATCAAAAATGCAGCTTCATCGTATAGCTTTAAGATTAAGTTAAAGAACTGGCTATACATTCGTCTGGTGGTGAGCGACACGCCTATCCATAACAGTTGAACTGCCAAAACTAAGTTAAACACGTTAACTAATTTTAACTGTTTTAAAAGAGAATTTTGTGCTCTTATCTTTTGCTATTTAAAACGGATATTGACCATTTGTCACTTAGCCGCGTTGACATGTCCCATGTGCCTGTAACTTAACCAGAAGGGCTGGCACGACAGGGCGGGATTGCGCAATAGCGACATATAGCGCGGGATCTATATACGAGAATAGCAGTATCTCGCGCTTTATGTTGTTCTAACGCAAGTCGCGCCCTGTTGTGCTAACCCTACTGTACCCTTATCCTTCCAAAAGTGGGTAAGTCGTAAAGTGCAGAAATAGATAAAGTGACAGAAATTGGTAAAGTGGCAGTACTTCAATGGACGAACTATTTCTCAAACAGCTCTTCTAAATATAATGCAAAATGGGATAAGTGACACTTTTGGGTCATATTGAGTTATATATACCGTTGGAATTAGAAACATTAGCTGATTCCAACGGTATATATAACTCAATATGATCAAGAGTGTCGCTTATGCCATTT